CGTATTCAACATAACCAGAGGGTTGTTGAAGGCGGATGTAGGGTCTATGAATGATATATCACTGAAAAATATTTTCGTAGGATATTTTCAAATGTGAATTTCTAATTGATTCTAGTTGGAACACACTTTTACCTTAATGTGATCTTCGCAACAGCTTCACTTGCAATCAATCTAGAATCATAGAATTCATGCGAAGACCACTGCATAATCTTCTCATTCATTCTATACTGTGTCGTAAGTAGCTGATTAATGTTAGCATTCGCAAATTCTTTGGCAAGTCTTTCCATTAGGGAGACGTGAAGTCCACCTTTGTGTGCTCTAAAAGACTTCTACAAACAGCTTTACACTGCCGGCAACCGGGATAATGTTGAAAAATTCAAACTGACTCTGTTGACAGTATCGTCGAAGGAAGCTGCGCATGATCACCTGCTAAGACGCATCTTCTAGCTTGTACTACTGCCGCCCAAGCTACAGGTTCGGAGGCTTGAGCCGCTTCATCTGCAAACCGATACTTTTTAAAGGAAAAGATTTCGTCAACACCGACGCTTACCGATGATAATGACATCTGGATGCCAGTTTACTTGCGCTAATCGCTGAACTGCGGAAGAAGTTAATGTGCAGAAAATTACAAGACGCTTCTTGTAGGCATCCTGAAACGATCCGCTCTATATGGTACATATATGAACAAAATAGTGAAAATAAGAAATGTAGATTTCTTGGTGCAACTACCTTCAGAATCTTCCACTTCAATTTGTTTGCATCCGTTCTCAGCCTTCCTCTATCCTCGCAGCTTAATTCGTTCTGAAATACGCTGATCAGTAAGCAAAGTAAGAATGTCCCGGAGTTATAACTGAGTCGTTGGAAGTTCTGCCTATTCAGAACCTTGTTATAACTCTATAATTAAAATAAAAACAACAATCTTTCTGAAATCCACTCATAATGTCGATGTGAAAGTTAAAAGAACATTCTTGGCCGAAGGTCGTAACTACTAATTCTTGCGGGGAGATTTTTAGATAAGCATTCAATGGAATGACCATAACAACACTTTTGATTTTTTTGCATAATTAGCATCTTGTGCTACACGGGAATGTGGTATCTCAAATCATAATCTATGCACTATTGCTGCAAATTAAAAAATCATAAATTCGTTAAGGAAAACAGTTAAGTACTTTCCAGTAGGTTCCACAAATATGCTGGGTTACACTATAACCATGAACCCAGACTTGTCCTTTTAATCAGATGAATATAGAAATTTTGGTTTGTATTACAGCATGAGAACAACTATCAATAAAAAGATGATCATAGAGGTAATACCCTACATGAAAGATGAAATTTGGTAATCCAGACCAAGCAAAAAGGAAACGTGTACGGCGCTAGAATGTCATTAATGATGCATGTGTTTACAATACATATATTTGTATAACCGCCCGAATACATGTCGTGCCCTACTATCAAGGTACAGAAATAAAGCGCACACATCAAAACTGGCTGTGCGCAACTATCGCGTAACATTAAAACAAAATTGGGTTTCGGGGAAATTTGCGAAACATGAGATGGCACGATTGAGAGTTAAAAAGACTAAAATAATAAGAGATGAAGGAGATGAGAAAAAGACTGTCCAAAGGTTGCAAGTTGCCAAAACAAGTTAACAAAATTTATTGGAAAAAGAACGAATAAATCATTGAAAGTTTTACAATTCACGTTGGAAGGAAGGAGAATTTGGCTTGAAAGTGAGTAAACGAGATGAGTTATAGTAATGGGATAACAAAATTGTTCCTCCTTTGCCTACGAGAGTAGCAACAGCTTTTGGGGATTGACAATGAAAATTTGCACTATGGCATACAAACAGTTGCAACAGAAACCATATTCGAGGATGCTAACGGACCTTAATTTGAAGCATTAAATGGTTCCTCGAAGCGCAAAATTTCCATAGCATTTAGAGCGTGAGGACGAAGTGTTATACGTTAACAATGTAGACTGTGAAAAAGCCGGTTAGGCCTTGCCAAGAAATGAGAAACAACTGTGGGAGAAAGATCAGACAATATATATGAGATAGATCAAAATTAAACATAGGAGCGGTGTAAAAAGACTCACCATTCTATCGAATAATTCACAAAGATCCATGTATTTGTCATGGGAGCAGATCGCATCCTCAATTGTTTCAGCATTAG